TTCACCTCTCGTTCTTCTCCCTGGCTGCGGTATGTGCCCCTTCGCGCTGGGGGTATCCTGGTTCCCAGTTGTGGGGAGGACACCGCGGTTTTCCCTGTGTCATGGGTGTGGACCGCCTCCTTCGCCTCTCCCTGCTCTCCTGCGGGTCCGGCAGGGTCTGGCTCTGGCGTCTTCAACTGGCGGTGCTCCCAGATTCTTCTGGGCACGGTTGAGTCGTGTCAAGTTCGTGCCACCGTTCGCCAGGCGAGTTTCTGCGGTCTGGCGCCTTTTGGCCGGGCGCTGGATGCGGAGTTGTTTATATACCTGTCTTTATTTAAGTATATTTTTGTACGACTGAGACCGTTCGCACACCAGTGACTGTCCCTTTTTTCAGCCCTTCCTGTCCCCCTCATGTGCATGTCCAACCCATGCTGGAGTCATTCAGGGGACCCACCTTTTTTAATGTTGTGAGGTGTGGGGGTTGTAGGGTTGGTTCTGTACTCACCTGGTAAGGCTCCTGGCTGTGCTTGCAGGATTTAAGCTCTGGCTCTTGGGTCCCGCCTATCTGGTAGAACTTGCGGGATAGTACCAGTGGAGTGCAGTGGTGCTATTGGCACATTTGGGGAACACTGTATTACCGTCAGAGGTCTGTGCTTGTTACACGACCTGCTTGCGAGCATAAGCCTTCTTGCTGGTTCGTCCGTGGACTTCCAGGGCACACCAGCCTGTTTTCGTATGGCAGTTCCGGCCCGTCCTGGTTACCTGGTTGATACCTGGTTGATGGGGTTCTGGGAGTTCATCTACTCCCCAAGCCTGGCCCGAGGCCAGGCTTGACTTGTGAGAGTTTGGTCCACTAGGCTGTTGCTTGGAGCGGCCCGCAGGCCCACATACCCACCACAGCCCGGTTGGTCCGGCACTCCTTGGAGGAATAAATCTAGTTTCCTCTTGAAAATGTCCACGGTTGTTCCGGCAATATTTCTTATGCTTCCTGGGAGGACGTTGAACAACCGCGGACCTCTGATGTTTATACAGTGTTCTCTGATTGTGCCTATGGCACCTCTGCTCTTCATTGGTTCTATTCTACATTTTCTTCCATGTCGTTCACTCCAGTACGTTGTTATTTTTCTGTGTAGATTTGGTACTTGGCCCTCCAGTATCTTCCAGGTGTATATTATTTTATATCTCTCTCGTCTTCTTTCTAGTGAGTACATTTGGAGGGCTTTGAGACGATCCCAATAATTTAGGTGCTTTATTGCGTCTATGCGTGCCGTATATGTTCTCCGTATTCCCTCTATTTCAGCAATCTCTCCTGCTCTGAAGGGGGAAGTGAGTACTGAGCAGTACTCAAGACGGGACAACACAAGTGCCTTGAAGAGTACAACCATTGTGATGGGATCCCTGGATTTGAAAGTTCTCGTAATCCATCCTATCATTTTTCTGGCTGTCGCAATATTTGCTTGGTTATGCTCCTTAAACGTTAGGTCGTCAGTCATTATTATTCCCAAATCCTTTACATGCTGTTTTCCTACTATGGGTACATTTGATTGTGTTTTGTACTCTGTATTATGTTTAAGGTCCTCATTTTTACCGTACCTGAGTACCTGGAATTTATCACTGTTAAACATCATGTTATTTTCTGATGCCCAGTCGAAAACTTTATTAATATCAGCTTGAAGTTTTTCAATGTCTTCAGCCGAGGTAATTTTCATACTGATTTTTGTGTCATCTGCAAAGGATGATACGAAGCTGTGACTTGTATTTTTGTCTATATCTGATATGAGAATAAGGAAAAGCAGCGGTGCAAGGACTGTACCCTGAGGTACAGAGCTTTTAACTGCACTTGGACTAGATTTTATATGGTTGACCGTTACTCGCTGAGTCCTGTTTGACAGAAAACTGAGTATCCAGCGTCCTACTTTACTGGTTATTCCCATTGACTTCATTTTGTGTGCTATCACGCCATGGTCACATTTATCGAAAGCCTTTGCGAAGTCCGTGTATATCACATCAGCATTCTGGTTTTCTTCTAATGCCTCAGTGACTTTGTCGTAGTGCTCAAGTAGCTGTGAGAGGCACGATCTTCCCGCTCGAAATCCATGTTGGCCTGGGTTGTGAAGGTCATTGGTCTCCATGAAATTGGTGACCTGACTCCTAATCACTCTCTCAAATACTTTTATGATGTGCGATGTTAGTGCAACTGGTCTATAATTCTTTGCCAATGCTTTGCTCCCTCCCTTGTGTAGAGGGGCTATGTCTGCTACTTTAAGTGCATCTGGTATCTCCCCCGTGTCCAAGCTCTTCCTCCACATTATACTGAGTGTACTGAGTGGTTGTGGGGGTATGTGGGCCGGTGGACTGCTCCTAGCAGCTGCCTGGTGGGCCACCCTCTGGCTGGTCTAGCCTGGCCTTGAGGTGTAAAAGAGCTCCCAGTACCTCATCCAGCTGGTATCGAGCGGGGTTTTTCCGCCGTCGGTCGCCTGGTGCAGGTTTCTGGGCCTGCTGGGTTTTGTCGTGTCTCCGTTGGCCCTGTCTGGGGTCTGCCTGCTCCGTTCTCTGCCTTTGCAGAAGGGAGTTGCTATTTACATGTTGCATGTTGCAGTGGTGCCTGTTGCTGCTGCTGCACGTGTGCATTGGTGGCGTGTCCTTGTTCCTGTGTCCGGTTGTGGAGTGGCACTTTGCTGCCGTTTTGTGCCTGGGGATTGCGTGGAGGTTTTTCTGTCCCTGCCTGATTGTCCACCCCTGGTTGTTATCCTGGGGTTTTTGTGCTTCTGCTCTTTCTTCCTGCCTCCTCTGCAGCAGGGGTGTTCTGCGTGTGTTCTTAGGCGTTTTTCAGCCTAACAAAGACAAAGCGAGACAAAGAAGCACATTACAGTGTCCTGTGATGTGCTTCTTTGTCTCGGTCTATTGCAGTTGTTCGTACCCCTTGGTTCGGGTACTGTTCTGGCGGCGACCCTTCCGCCTTCTTTGGTTTCCTAGCTTGCCCTGCCGTTTTTTTTTTTTTTTTTTTTTTTTTTTTGGGTCTTGCGATGTCTCGCGTCGGACCCGTCGTTTCTGAACTCCTGGCGGGCTTGCATGCTTTGGGGAGTTTTTCTGTTCGGCAGACGTTCCATCTTGTGCCGTCTGGGTTTCGGTGGTCGCGCCCGAGATCTTCCCGCGGCTCCGCCTTTTCCTGGGCTCGGAGGGGCCTTGTCGGGGCTGCTTATGTTCTGCCTCGCGGTCTCGCCTCCGGTTGGTGGTCGGGTGGCTTCATGGTAGGTGTCCCACCTGCGTGCTTCTCTTGGCGGCAGTATGGGGTATTTTGGCGATCCTTCCTTTTCCTGTCCCTTCTTAGGTGGTTACTCTTGTTGGCTTGGTTTACTCTCGGCTTGGTTTTCTGGTGGGGGTTGGGGGCCATCGTCTTGCCACATACTGTCGCCTCTTTTCGTGCGGCGCTGGCGGAGCCGCTTCAGCTTGCTTTCGGTCTTGGTGTTGCTTCTGCACCGTTAGTAAGCTGTCTTGTGCGTCGTTTCACCTCCGGCCTGTTCGTGCGCCGCTTGCACTCTCCTGGTCTCTGGTCAGCGTGCTCTGTCTTCTCCTCGGTTGGTAGTGCCCCTTCGGTTCCGGTGTGTTTTTCGTCGGCTCTTTCCTTTTGGCCTTTGCCTCTGGGGGTTGAGTCGCTGAGTTTTCTTGCTCCTTCGGTTTTAGCGTTTTGGTTGTTCGGTGGCAGCAGTCTCCATCTTTTCTGGCGCGGGGTGGGGCTGCTGCGTTCTGGAGGGGTCCAGGGTTTGTTGGTGCTTCATTGGTCGGGCCGGGGGGGTGTTGTTTTTTGTGTTCAGTGGCGGCCCTCCGCTGTTGTTTGCGTGCCACGGCGTTTGGGACCGGAGCGCGTTTTTCGTTGGTCCGGTTCTGTTCTTCCCGGTTCGCGGGTGATAGTGTCCCGGGTGGTCAGCCGTGTTCTTGTGGCTAAGCTGCCTGTGTTCTTCCCTCATGCCTTTGGCGTTCGTGGCTTCGCTCCTCTCGCTGCCGTCTGGGCGACGTGGCCTTACGGTCTTTCGGGCATGGATTTTTGGTGTTCGTGCGGGGGCCTTGCTGCTCGTTGTTCTCGTGTTGTTCCCTGGACTTTTCGGGGCTGTGGCGCCTTGGGTTGGCGTTTGCTGCCGGTTGTCTCACCTCCGTGGGGGGTGCGTGGTGTCCGCCTCCCGGTTCTGTCCCTTTGACCTTCCTCTGTAGGTAGTTAGCTCCGGGGAGCCGACGGGGCTCCCCCCAGAAAACCAGCGTTGAATGTAATGAAACGCCATTTTCTGGGTGAGACCCGGAGGCTCCCCAGCAACCCTCCCTCCCTCCGGTCGGCGGTTTTTTCGCATGTTTTGACATCCAGCCTCAGAACTGATGGGTGGATAGCCGGCGTGGGAGGTCTGGGGCTCCCCCTTCCCCCTCCCGGGGAGGGGGGAGCTGCGCAGACAGCGGCGCGGTGACGTATGACGTCATACTAGTTTCCTTGTTTTCTGTTGAAGAGTTCTATCCACTAGTTCGGCTTTAGGTAGCAATTTTCACCAAAATAGGGGTTTGTTTTGGAATGCTTACCTTTCTGGATGCTTGACCCGGTCGATGGCAGACATAGAATGCTTCCAACCACACGGGGGTTTCTATAGGCCATTGCTTCCCTTGCCTCTCTGAGGGGGCCAGGTTCTGGCCGTGGTCCCCGGTAGGCCCTAGAACTCCATACACATAACTGATGCCAAAGTCTGACATTAGCATATCAGCCGGTAAAGCTCCAGGGAGCCTCCGGGTCTCACCCAGAAAATGGCGTTTCATTACATTCAACGCTTGTTTTTTAAGCAAAAAGCTTTCACCATGTTAAAAAAAAAATAATTTGAAGTTGCTTTTTATTTTTAGTGTAGAGTACAATATAGTATATGGAACAAATACTGTATTTTAATTGGCGTTAGTTGAAAATATTGTAATAGGTATGGTGTATGAATAAGAGTACTGTAATTATAATTAATGCATTTATTTAATACCTTTAATTTTACAAATTACAGGTGACAGACTTCCTGCTCTTCATCGGAAAGATGGTGGTGGTTGGAATAATTGGTGTTGCTTCTTTCTTCATATTTAGTGGCGAAGTCAAGTTTGCACAAGAATATCTACCACAAATGAATTATTACCTTACACCAGTTATCATCATAACCATTGGTACATTTTTTATAGCTAGTGCATTCTTCTCTGTTTATGCCATGGCTGTGGACACATTGTTCTTGTGTTTCCTTGAGGACTGTGAAAGAAATGATGGATCTATGGAGAAACCTTACTTCATGAGTAAAGACCTCATGAAAATCTTGGATAAGAAAAACAAATTCAAGGAAGAATAATTGTTTAAACAAGTTCTATATTTTTAATTTATACAGCAACACCTTAGTGTGTTGATGTCAAGGTTTTCACCATAGAACATACAATGACTTTCATTTGTTTTATAAAGACATAGATTTACAAGATTTTGATTAATGTACTGTAATGGAGTGCTATCATAAACTGATTGCTATGCTATATATGCACATTAAATATATGTACATTGTATTTTATACATAAATCTGATTTTTTTTTAACAAACAGCTGACAGCCACTTTCTTTTTTTGGTTCGAGCCCTTTGTGGCTTCAGTACCTAAATCCAAGTTGGCTCCCAACTACCAGGTCACATCTGTCATAGAGTTCTGACCAGAGCCAGAACTCGACCCTCTCACACAAGTGTAGAGAACAGCTGACACACTGCCATCCCACTGGAAGAGCATTCAGAAAGTCAGCAGCAAATCAGTACAGTGCACTGCTGGATTTAAAAAAAAAAAAAAAAAAAAAAAAAAGAGATTAAATCCTCAAAACTGCTAAACTCACTCCTCAACAATGTAAACAAATGATTTAATCTTGAAACAGTGCGAGCTCATTAGCCCTCACCAATTGTGGGGGGGGGGGGAGCCCCCAATTCCCCTCCAACCTTCCACACCAATTCTCACACTGATGTGGATGTTTGTGGAGGTCCATTGTAGGGCTTCCTGGTCATCTGTACGTCATGCAGATCCAACTGCTTCTAAGCTGAGTGCTGGCCGTCCTCAGACAATGTCCTGTGAGAGCTGTTTGCTTGGTATTCAGCTTCATTGTTGTGTTTTTATCCAGTTTATGCTGTGTGGATCTGGCTCATTGACCACTTAAGAGCTACATGTGCTCATGCTTACCTTCTCCGAGTGTTCCCCTGGTGCTGCACTGACAGAGTTCTCTTCTCTGGCGTATTTGGGAGTTTGCTTTTTTAAGAGGTCAGACCACTTTAAGGTGGCCTCGCCTAAGACAAATAGAGGTACTTTTGTGTCCTTCTGTCTAGGCCTTTGGTTGGAACAAGTATTTGGCTGGTTGGGGCTCACTGGTGTTACGCACACTTGTTCACACTGTACCTTAAGATTTATCTTCACAGTTGTATTGACCTGGCAGTGTCAGTCTACTTTGTGTCCTGCAGCATCCCCAGTGCCTCGATGTCCTGCTTGGTTAGTCCTTCAAGCCCTGATTATCCCTCCAATCCTTCGAGTTGACGTGCTTCCAGGGTGGGGGGGGGGGGGGTTCCTTTGGTTGTTGCCGTGTAGTTAGGCCAGGAGGAGCATCATGTGCTGTGCCCAGTGGCAGTTCTCCTCTACTACCTTCATGCCGCTGATTCTGCATCGGTAGATATTTTGTGGGTTAGACCAAGTGTTTTGTCTTTGTCTTGACTATGAGATCATGACTGCCTGCGACTTCTCTTCCTTCCTGGTTGTGTCCCTCTTTCTTCTCCATGGGTAGTTAACTTCAGGATGCCACAAAGATCCTACATTTCTCCAGAAAACCAGTGTTGAATGTAATGAAACGCCTCTTTCTGGGTAAGTCCCGGTGGATTTCTAATTCCCTCTCTCCCAGGTTGTCAGTTGGTGGATGTCATCTGCACATCTGCTTCAGAACTGGTGTGGAAGGCTGGAAATGATTGAAAGCTGCAGGGCTCCCCAGATGGTGGTGGTGGGGGGGGGGGGGGGAGGAGGGGAGTGCTAACAAGCTCATGCTTGTTTCAAGAGATTTGATCATTTTACATTGGAGTTTGGCAGTTTTGAGGTTTCGGTCTCATTGAATCCAGTACTAGTAGTGGTCAAGATTGGTGCACTGAATTTCCATATGTTTTCCTGGTGGGGTGGCAGAGAGTCACCTTCTCTCTGCACCTTTGTGAGGGGCCAGGTTCTAGCTCTAGTCCCCAGTAGGCTAAACAAAACAACATGGCTGATGTGACATAGTAGTTGGGAGCCACTGGGGCTCACCCCCCCCCCCCCCAAAATGCATTACATTTAATATTGATTTTATGATGTAGATTTTTCAAAGTAGAAACATTTCTGTCCTTTACAATCAAAATGATAAATATATATTTAAGATAATGTTCTTCACATTTACTGATGTGATATTTTGTAAAGATTCACTTTAACATTAGCAGTTGCAAATAGTAGCATGTTTTATTAATGTGCCTTTTCCATCTATATTTTGTAATAAGTAGTGATTTTCTATAACTGAGGAAATGTTTGATGCTTCTTTAAGAGTTGCTGTTTATTGGTAAAGTTGTCAACTAATAGTTCCATTTCATATTTAAATGTTGACACTCCTATATGAGTACATGTTTATATGAGTACATGTTTATAAAGGTGTGTATAATTGTAATTTCACCTGATAACACAAATATTCCCTATGAGACTTTATATGAAATCATTTGGAATAAACAAAAATAAAGATATATTATCATTTTGTTATCCAGTATCAAAGGATGGATTGACAATTACAATGCCAATTTTAATTATTAACTGTTAGACTTTTCACATTACTTAACCACTGAACTGCATAACGCGCCTACAGGCGCTCAACGGGGTATGCGCAACGCGCCTCCGGGATCTTACAGGTAGTGTATAGCGTATGATTCAAAACTCCCCTGGCTACACGGGGTTCACATCAGCTTCCTCAGGGCTCTTGTAAACAGACGCCATTTAAAAAAAATCATGGGGGCCACATTCCCGGCTGTGAGAGCCTCAGTGACACTGAGTGAGCAACCAAGGCTGGTGCATGCAGCATGAGCTCACAGCACTGCTGTTCAGCTTGTGACCACAGCATTGCCTAATAATATCAAAATACATATGTAACTGGACTTATTTAGCCATGATAGTATTACAGAAGAGCCCGAGTGTGATAATGACTGTGTACAATGTTCAAATATCAGTGAATCAATGCTGTTCACAATGTTCACAGTGCTAGCCACAGCACCACAGCAATATTTCATCCATCTAGGAATCTTCAAACGACTTCTTATGTTTCTTTACAAAATAAACTTGTGGTCAATTATTCATTTACAGGATTTAATGACCAGGATCTTGAGATGATTTCGGGGCTTAGTGTCCCTGTGCCCCGGTCCTCGACCAGGCCTCCACCCCCCAGGAAGCAGCCCATAGCAGCTAACTCCTAGGTACCTATTTACTGCTAGGTAACAGGGGCATCAGGGTGAAAGAAACATTTTGCCCATTTGTCTCCACCTCCACCGGGGATCGAACCCGGAACCTCAGAACTACGAATCTGAAGCGCTGTCCACCCAGCTGTCAGGCGCCCTTGGATTGTGATAATAGCAGGATTGTGCTGATAGTGTTGTGCGTAGTATTGTGGAAGGAGGAATTTTGGTGAGGGAGGGAGGGAATCGAGGTAGCATCACTGTGTGTGGCAGCCACTCTTGTTTTGCTCACCATACTAGCTTAGTGGTTCACTATGGTGAACACACATGTACGTGGGTATATACAATGTGTGTATATAGTGTATTAACAGCAACAGGAGTATGTTGGAAGGAGCCATTTTGGTGAGGGAGGTGGCGTCGTACTCGTAGCGTCGTCTGCTGGCTGATGTGTGATTTGTCATGGGGTTTGCTTAATTACCCAAAGCTACCCAAAGTCACTCAAAGCCAACCAAAGTTTAATGGCATTATGTTAGTAATGAATAAATATGATATATTTACTCATTATAATGTTGGTACTGAATGTAGAACATGGAAAAACATATTTTTACTCTGAAAAAGTATCATTTCATAACGAAATTAGACGAAAATAAGCTGCTGGTGACGCCAAAGCAAGTCGACAGTCCAAGTGACAATGTTGTGGAGCAACTTATCCTAGACACATTGTTGCCTAAAGAGTTATTGCTGGCATATCAGCCTCCTGTACCTACTGTGACGGTGCCCTCTCCAGTTTCTCCCATATGCCAGCTGTAAGAGTCATAATCAGCTTACCTGCAGGTTCTCTGAGGTGCAGGGAATCTTTTGAGGTATGAGGCTTCCAAAATGGTTGCTTATTTGGAGAGAAATTTGCATTTGTAAATTTGCAGGGAAGTAGAAAAGTCGCGCCCTGGGTACAACAAAATGGCGCCGCCTGGCCTGTAAATCCACCATTTTGTGTACGACGCCCCGCCGGTCGGTGATTGGCTGGCTGAGGTCACATGACTTCGTTGACCAGTCAGAGCCTGCCCCTGGGTCTGTGACGTCACCGAGAGACCTGGCCTGGCGCTCTAGGCGCTCAGTGATACTTGGCGCTTCGTTGAGAGCGGACATGCGCCGATTGAGCTCTCAGAGTTCCGAGGTCTAAGAGCCTCCTTAAGTGGATATACACATCCTGACGAATGTATAGTGACTAACAAGGACTGCAGTACTTCAGGGAAGTGTGAGGAAGCCTAATCCAGTGGTGTAAGGGCGCCGAGGACCGTGTGCAAATAGTCTTGGAGAAGTCGAGAGAGTTACGACGGCTGGAGGAGTGAGTGACTCACCGTCAGTGGAACTCCAAAGCATTCAGAGCTGTGGTGATTGGATCACATCCACTAGGAACTCAGAAGGGAGAAGATACATCCTAATCCTTGAGTGTGGTCTCGGTAAAGGATTGCTTGAGGGGACGACGTGTGCAGTGACGACTGGACGAGCTAACGCCCAGAAACTTCACTCAGGGAATGAGCACGGAGATGACGAGGATCTTCATGACGCCCATGGACTGGTGATGCTTCTGGAACGCTGGGAACAACGCGAGGAACGGTGTACCTAGGGAACGGCGACTGGAGCCTAAGCGTCTGAAGACAGGATATGTTAAGGTAGATCAATTTTCCCTCCCATATTTCCCTTGGTTGTTGGGCAAGATAGGCCTATTATTATTATTATTATGCTTAGGCATTTATTAGAGTGCATATAAGTCATAGGAGTAGATTAGGCTGAGGGACAGCACGTATATATTATTCCACTGATTGGTGAAGACAGCGTGTGGCCGGCCCGTGGAGGAGTGAGGAGTGACGTGGATGAAGTTGCCCAGTGATCCCCTTAACTCATCAGCTGATGTGAGCTGCCGGCAGCCACCAGAGGAGCGCTGCTGTCACCATTATTGCTATTATTTCCATAAATCCTTACATGTATCTCGTGTGTTGTAGTTTACTTTGAGTAAACTTTATTATTTTATCACTGCTTTTGGTGTAACCTCCATCTCATTGAGCTTTGTGATTAATAACATGATTATACTGTACTGTTACTGGCATGGCATAGAGAGAGACCCTGTGTTGGCAACACGATATTAGATTTGAACACGGGTACTGGCATTCCCTAAAGAGTGACCCTGAGTTGGCAACATGACTGTACATTTGAATTCTAGTATTGGCAGCATATAGTATGGTCCTAGGCTGCTGTAAATATATTATATTCGAACAAACAGCGTTGCTGGGACGCTGAGAGAATTACCCAGCTGGCGACCAGAAGATAAGAGGTGGAAGTGAGGCTACGGCCGGAAGTCCGGCAAATTCTCTGCACACATAGGTGGGCAGGCCCGGTGAGGGAGTCACATACTGCAGGATTGAGTTTAGTAGTGTAGGCTGGGCCTTCTCCTCTCCCCCTTGGGTCCAAGGTCAAGTGGTGACCGGTCTTGAGGCATGACTAGGAGAGCTCCCTGGGGTGATATGTGACACTAGTGGAGGGAGTGAAGTCTCACGGCATGGGGTTATAGGATCAGTAGCACGATCCCCCGCTGTTTAACTGTAACCTCATGTCACACAAGGCCAAGGTGAGCAGCGTGTGACACTACCTAACCTAACCAAACAAAACCTTACCTAACCTATCCACTCCTAAGTTAATATAACCTGTTTGCAACAATATATCTTGGATAAGTAAGTAATTATCAAAAGAAGGCACCAAACTGGGAAGGCTATGTAGCACCATCACATGTGCAGAATAATCAGAGGGTGCTAAATATCACCAAGGACGCCAATACGAGAACAGAAACACATAAGGCGAACGATATCAAAAGCTTCCGATTCATCAAGAATTCTATCGAGGGACAAGTGACTGCGAGGGACGATCAGAAAGCCAGACACATGCTTGTCCTGGAAGTCAGGACATTCAACAAGGATATGCACGACTGTAAGAGGGACAATAAGGAGGAGGGCGGCACTCCATTATGCTTAACTCACACTCGACTGTGAGTTAAGCGTATATGGCCAATATGCAACCTTGCTAGAGTCGTTTCTGACCACCGGTTATGGTGGTTAGAAACGCCGAAACGCCGAAAAGAGGCAGAGAGAGTGGCACCAAGTCTGACTCGAAGGGAACAATGAGAGAGAAAGCTTTGGAGGAAGAGAGATTACCACGAAGGCCAAAAGAACGAAGTTGGGAGAGAATATGGTATCTCCAAGTTGTGCCATGAGCCTTTTCCAGGTCAAAAAGGACAGCAACAACAGAGGTCTTCGCAGCAAAAGCAGAACGAATATAGACCTCCAAGTTCACCAGGACATCAGTCATGCTAAAGCACTTCCAAAAACCAAATTGAGAAGGAGAGAGGTGGTGATGGAGTTCCAAGAACCACATCAGACGAACATTTACCATACGCTCAAAAGAGTTTGCAGACACAACTCGTGAGGGCAATAGGGCTTAATTTAAGTCTTAAGGGATGTCCTGAGAGACCCCGGTTTCCAAATACGAAGTACAACAGCATTGAGCCAGTTCTCAGGGACTGACGACGACTCCCAGACCTGGTTATACAGACTCAGTAAATACTGAGACGTGCAAGGAGGGAGATAGCGAAGTATAAACTCAATATACCTAGCTCTTGTCAATATGGCTACAGACCCAAAAAAAGCACTAATGATGCACTTATTAGTATGATTAACTTGTTACATATAGCTCTTGATAAAAATGAGTTCCCTGTTGGGTTATTTGTAGACCTGCGTAAAGCTTTTGACACTGTTAACCACCAAAACCTTCTTCTTAAATTACAACATTATGGAGTCAGAGGTCACTCCCTGCAGTATATTAAGTCTTATCTTACTGACAGACTCCAGTATGTTTCTGTGAATAATTCAATTTATCCCACCCTACCCATCAACATTGGTGTTCCCCAGGGCAGCATACTTGGCCCTCTCCTCTTTCTCATCTACATTAATGACCTTCCAAATGCCTCCCAACATCTCAAACCAATTTATTTGCTGACGACACGACCTTCATTTACTCCAGTCCTGACCCCCTTGCACTAAATGTCACAGTGAATACTGAGCTAAATAAAGTCCATCACTGGCTAACTGCCAACAAACTCACCCTCAAAATTGACAAAACTTTCTATATTTTGTTTGGCAATAAATCCTCAAATCAAATAAATCTCAGGATTAACAATACCCAAATTTGTAACAAAGTAGATGGCAAATTCCTTGGCGTTCTCATTTCCGCAAGCTGAATTTCCAGGGACA